GATTGGGCCTGCGAAATCTTGTTATACTGGTGCAAACTAATCAAATGTGCTGAATATTCTGTCACGTGACAAGGTTGTATGGAAAATTCTGAAAGCTAGCTTAAAAGCAGTAGCATATGTCAATGAAATCAATGTCAACTGGGAGAAGCAAAAACCGCTCACTGTAATGCAGTTTTCATGGACGCCTGCACCATGTAGAGAACCTGACAAATGTAGGACAACGAGCAATGTTTGAACATATTTTGATGTCAAAGTTGGTAGCTAAACAACTGCACTTATGCTTGCATTGCGTCACTGGCAGTCATGATGTATATAGTAATATTTTACGTACTAAATGATATCTATGTTCTACCCCGTTTCGGACAGGTATCTGAAGGTTTTGTAATGACTGAGCTTCGTCATGCAGTGCCCACTACAAAAACCGGTATCAGTTTAACCCCATGGCAATCAGTAACTGAGAATAAAAATTCTGATACCTTCAGCTACAGCTATGAGAAAGTCCACGTAGACATTCGGGGTTATTCATTGATCGACCTTGCTGAGCGCTTACTACCGCGAAGCCATGTCTCAGCTAGGGGTACCAAGTTAAGCGAAACTGGTACATTCGTCTGATTTGTTCTGCATGGGCACAGGAAATGAGTCGAACGCAAAGGAACTCCCGGAACAGACGTGCTGGTTAGCGATATCTTTGTGGTGATTAGGGAAACAGCTTCAACAATTGAGGTCATATTGAACGGATCTATTGAGTTTAGGCTACTGAGAGTAGGTTTAAATGCTCGGAGAATCAAACCTTTATATAAATGAATTAATGGTGCGTTCAGAAAACCAGCTTTGATTTAACTTTAATTCAGAGAATTTTAGTCCACCTCAGGCCCAAAGCATTGAGGCCTAGTGTAAGAAATACTTGCTCGACTGGTCTTGTGTTATAAATACCATTTCTAATTCACTCAGTCTTGTGTTTCGGTAACTGAGTGCCTCACAAATACGTTTCACCATTTCCTCAGTTTTCTTGCCATAACCCCGGTACATTACATTTTATTTGAATGTTCGCTTTCATAAAATCCCAAGGTGCGAGATATCGTCAATAATCAAGAATCAAAACACGGTTGGAGAGCAGCAACTTTGAATACCACCTTGTTTAGACAAATGTAAAAGTCAAAGCGGCTTATACATCATACATAAAGCACGCTCATACAAAGAATGCTGTGGTGTAAACATGAGTTGGCATTCCCTTATCTCTGGTTGAAAAAAGAACATACTTTTATAAGCAAGTAAATACGGAAGTAGAAAGCAAATCATTAATAATCATGAGCAAGATAATTGTCCTCCTTATTTAGATATACTGAGTACACGGCGACCAGATAGTTCCCTCAGTAAGTCTGTGTAAGGAAGCCAACCTGAACTGCCCAGTATCTGCATTTTACGTTTCTGCTCTATTCAACACAAACGCTCTCTCATTCCGACACTGTTGTATCGAGTCCCAATGATCTGCACACCTAACACCAAAGAAGCAGGAAGGGATTAACATTTTAATAGGCTACATTTCAACGGTCACCCGTTGCAGTTCTTTAAGCGTGACAGTGAACAAACTAAGTAAGATCGCGTCCAAACAGTTCAAAAAAGCCGATATTCATCCAGCTACATTTGAACAGTGACCACGTTATGAAGGTCACTGAGAAACAAGGAAGGACTTCACTCAAAAGAGCGTACAATGCGGTGGAACTGCGGCCGCTCACATCGACAAGAACTATTCAAATGGGTTAGAGCAAGATACGGATGATGAGACTCTACACGTCCTACTGTCTATCTAAATTCATCAGTGGCTGCGAAGCTAGCTACCTTGGGTGTACTAACCGAAGTTTAGGTGCCAAAGTCAATGAACACATCCACAAGTGGTTACGCTGCCGAATAGTGTCGGTAACGACGGAATCAGTTGAATAGAGAAACCGAACTGCTTTGGCAAACACAAAACACTTGCTTGCCACCGGCCACCGAGTCAATCCTGATGAGTCATTCACTGTCCTACTGCGCGATCGGCGGCCTCACATGCTTAGGCTAATGGAGGCCATCGTTATGCATCTTGAGCGATCGTTGCTGTGCATTCGAAAACTGGTTTCTGTGACTTTAAGTCTGCCCTGGTAGCACAAATCCGGAGCTATATATGATCCCTTTGACTTTGTTGGTTACTCATTTACACACTGCCGCATGTTTTGTGCTTGATACTAATGCACAAAATGGCGACTTCATCTCACAGCCTAAGTCTTCTGAGTTTCAGGTTTGAGACAACTAATGCATGGTACTAGTCTGTTTCTGCAGATTCACTAAGCAAAATTGTGACGAACCTTATGAAATGCAGCACTGGAAATTCGACGGATTATTGGGCACACTCTAACAACCGCTGGCTAATTTGCCAACCTATGGCAGGTAGTTTGCTACTTCAAGCTCGGTAAAAATATTCAGACTGATCTCGAAATTTGAGTTGCAACAAGTTACAAATGCATGAGCCAATACGACCCATCCCATTTCATCTGACGATCTGACAGATTCAGTCGGTTACATTCGCTTAATTTCTTGTACATTTCTTCATTTGTAAATCTGATAAGGCTTTCATCCCAACAGTTCACAAGCTACATAGCGTTGATGCTACCTTGCACTACTTGTTCACTCTAGGCTAGATAGCCAAGGAGCAAACCGTCCACATTTACTTACAGCTGTTTGTAGGCCATGGTATATATGAGAAGGGAAACCATTACCGAAAACGATACCCGACAATTATGTAGTTCTACCTTCCGTCGTACTTAGGTACTTTCGACATGTGCACTTATATTACTAACCATTGAATATGTGAATGACAACCCGAAATATGAAACCGCTGCAATTGTATTCAGAGACTGGTTCTGCCACATTGCGACATTAAGAAATCGTCCTCTTCCCAACGTTAGTCCTACATTCCACGATTCAGCACAAATGATTTGCACCGTATGTCTTTACAAGCAGGACTGCATGAGGCAACCGGGTGGTAAATAAATTTAAATCATCATTAAAAACAGCAGCAGATTAGCTATTTGTACTGATGCTTCGCCGCCATACAACCATGATGACCTATGGAGTAAAGAATAATACGATGGAAAGAAGGAGGTATAAGCAGAAATATTTAATGCCCTAAGCAAATATTTGGGGTCAAGTTGCCTGCACCTTGTTTTAGAAAGTTACCATCACAAATAGCTGGCTATCACGCAAAGATAAGCAGTACCGTATTTTATCTGGGAACGAGGTTAGTTGTTGGAGGGGTGACCGGTAAATATTCACTACCAGGGGTAAAATGTGACGTGCTTACGTAAAAGTTGCACTAAATATTCGCAAACTACATGAGAGCACATTTCGATTCAAGTGCATAGAACCATTTAGAGTATTTGACTGATTCGAATGCACCTTAAATTGTGTTGTGGCACTTTGAAACTTTCCTTACATCTACCGCAATGTGGAGTAGACCAACATGGCGCCATCCCGGTGGGCAACTCATCTAAGCTGTATCAGCCTATTAGACAATTCCATAACAATCAGTGAGTTGTATAGATACCAATGAGTTAATCGAATCCAGTCCTAGGCTGCTACTCCTGCGATTATCACAGACATTACGATTATTCTGCTGTAGGTCGTTCAAATTTGGCCGCGCTCTATGTTTCTCTTTCAAGAAATTACCAACACTCGCACCTTCGACGGTGCCATCTCTAAACATTTTGTTTTACACACCTACTCCTCTACCCACAATTAGTGTCAGGATTATTTACACTCGTGAAAGTTTGAAATCGGTATGCATTACCGCGTAAGTGATAGACACTTTAGAGTTATCCAAAAGAATGTGAGAAGAATCTACCAACCACGTAACAAATTTGCAAAGAAGCATGGTACACGATGGAGGCTTGCTCTGTGGACGAAATATTGGTCTACTATGAACATACTAGCTATTTTCAGCACCAACATCCACACGCTTCCTGGGAAAATGGAACACTATAAAAGCAACATCTGATATCGCCAATACGCGGAGCTAGGAGTAACTGTGCTGCAGGGAACTTTAGCGTTTTCGATTATTATTCCTAATGAACCAACGTTCTTCAGAGATAATACCCTATCCGCGCAGTGTAGCTACTCGAATTTGGAACCTTGAGAGCCAAAGTGAACTAGCGGCTGGTGATACACGGATGGTTAGTCTGGAGACGAAAGTGCTTAACCTAAAGCCACCGCAATAACACCCGAACAAGGAAGATTGACCGGCACATATGTTGCTACTCCGTGGTAGTTTCTTAAGCAATACTCAGTTTGTGTCCATGAACTTATGGCGGTAGATGCCTCATTATTCTGACGAGATTTCCATAGGTTCACTGCAGCTTGTACAGTAAGTGCAAATTTCAGTCGGTTCACTGTAGCTAGACCTCAAATTCCTGGGGGGACTCATGACTTACTTGCGCAGTCTGTCCCTCCGTGTGGTGATAGTATGTCTTAGGTAAGGCTGTCAAAATCTGCACAAGTTTGCGGAAGTTTGTCAATTCCTCAACAGAAAGTCTGCTCGGTCTGGCTTTCACATCTTCGTAAACAGCCACTTGCGCACGTCTACTTCATTTAACGGACCGGCAATTACCAGGACAGATTAGCGCGTGGAGGGAAAATATCACAAAAATTTTCAAAGTTCATTTAAACAATTTATGTTATTGCAAACCAGTTTTCACAGCATGACCTCCCATGAACTCCATGGACCCCTAAACTTTTCCTCAACTGAGGGCTGCCCGAAATTCTCTAATGTTCTTCCGTTGAGACATTAGCCAATGCAGATCGGAGATATTTGGCCCCCAATAAAATATTGGAGAGATTGGCAAAATACCATGGCCAATGACATGGCTGTATTCATTTCAAACCAATGAGCAGCGAGGTTGCCTTAAGCATTGCCGCTCACTTCAATAAATAACGGAGCTGAGGTTGTATCCAAACAAAGATGAAAAAACATGCATTTGCTGACAATAATAATAGCAACCTTGTTGGCGCTGCACGTAAACGGCTGCATTAACACGACGGTATGTTTCATGTAAAAGCTCTGCCTTTGCTTATACATTGATAACTTAACGTGTGTACATGGACTGGTAAGTATAGTCACTAATTCATCAGGAAGTCGTTTTTTAATGCATTAACTTATAATCAGAGTACAGATCACTTGGTGTTTGACGTATATGCAAGCCATTAATTTAGGTGTTTGAAAAGTGAAGTAAGAAGACGAAGACTGACAAATACACGCATTTCTAGTACATGCATGCTACCAGTACCGACGTGCGAAGATAGTACATAACACTCCGGTAAAACAAGAACACCTTGAAGCTCTTAACCGTCTGGTTAGCAATGATGAGGTCTTACTCACTCGGCCAGATAAGGGCGTAGGTATTGTTATTATGAACAGAGTGGACTACTTGAGCAAAATGAAAGAAATACTGGCAGATGAAACCAAGTTTCTGAAGGCCATAGGTGAGAAAGACAAAACAAAACAGATTGAAACTCAACTTTGCAATTGTCTTAAACAGCTTCGAAAGGATGGTTACATCAATGAAGTCACTTATGGACAACTTCGGCCGGTAGGAACGGTTATTCCAAGGCTATATGGGCTACCAAAAACTCACAAGCCTAACGTCCCCCTTCGTCCCGTTTTGGATATGAAAAACTCCCCATATCACTCGATTGCTCGGTGGCTGGTTCTGATCCTTACACCTATTCGCGAGAGAATTGTTGTGCATACTGTGAAGGATAGTTTTGAGTTTGTGGATATTGTGCGTGATGTAAATGTCTCTAATCTAACCATGTGCTCCCTCGATGTTACTTCACTCTTCATCAACGTACCATTGGTTGAGACCATAAACTACATCTGTGAGTATGTTGATGCAAACCACATTAATGTTGGCATACCCACAATGATGCTAAAGGAACTATTGCTCAGATGCACGTTCAATGTTCAGTTTCTATTCAATGGCGAATTATACCGGCAGTGCGATGGGGTAGCGATGGGTTCCCCACTGGGTCCGTTCTTTGCCGACATATTCATGGGCATGCTGGAACAGGGAAAGCTAAAGCCAGCGATCTCAAGTCTCGGTTTATATTGCCGTTACGTGGACGATATTTTTGTCTTGCTTCAGTCGTCTGGAAGTATCGATGAACTAACAAACACTTTCAACCAAGGCCATCCAGCAATAAAGTTCACCAGCGAAGTGGAGCAAAACGGTCGCTTTCATTTCCTCGATGTTGCCATGAAAAGACTGGATGGGGGTGCGCTACAGCGCTGCGTCTATAGGAAAAGTACTTGGAATGGGCAGTACACAAACTTCTACAGCTTCGTGCCACAGGTTTAAACGGAACTTGATAAATACCCTAGTGAGCCGAGCTGAACGTATCTGCTCGAATGACACGCTTGCGGAAGAATTAGAGTGCATTCGCTTAGTGCTAAGGGAGAACGGCTATCCGGAAAGCTTCATCAGAGCCAACATGGAACATAAAAAGAAAAAGCCTGTAGTTTTGACGGTAGAACGTAAACCAATCTTCCTACAGCTGCCATACAAGGGCGAGGTTGCGACGGAACTTCTATCTCGTCGTCTTTCGTTTGCACTCAGACGCACCTATCCAGCAGCGCGGATGCAAATCCAGTTCACTAGCTTTCCGATGGTGAGACTAAATTCAAGGGATAAGAGGCCTGTCCACACCAACTCAATGTGTATCTACTCATTTTCTTGCTCCTGCGGAGCGGAATACATTGGTCGTACGACACGGCGTCTATCCGAGAGAATGAAGGAACACCATCCGGTCGGGCTTACAAATAGAAGTGGAAGTACAGCGAACTCATCAATAGCCGCGCACCTAGCCGATACAGGACACGTGACAAAGTTCAACGATTCATTCAAACTAATCTACCAGGCCCCAAAGCACCGCTCGAACTGCGTCCGTAAGCGATTACTAGAAGCCGCTGAAGCAATTGCCATCAGGCTGTATGAACCGGAGCTATGTGTTCAGAAGAAGTTAACTAAAGGCTTGGAACTACCCTGGCCCAAACGGCCGATGACCTCTAACCCACGAGGCCAAACGCGGTCGATTGTCGTGTCCTAACAGACAGCGCTGTCAGCATCCAAGTAACTCGCTCCACTAGTAACGACTTATAATGTCTGTCTACATTTTGATTTTGATTTTGCATATAATTGTATAAGCCTGAAGATGAATTATCGAAAACATATGTTCGCTTACTCTGATTTCGTATTGTCTCATCATTGCCTTTAACAGTAACTCGCAATAATATTTAGTAAGTGAAGGGTGCGACCAAACATACATAGAAACAGAAAACAGACCAACACACAATAAGCGACACAGAGTTATCACCCCCATCCCCCGTGCAGTGTGATGCTGACCGATAATTGTTTATGAATACAAAGCAGCGGCTTAAGCCGGTTAATTGCAACCGGCTCTGCAAAATAGAGAAGGCGAGAATCGGTGTGCTGTAATAGGATTGTGAACGCCGAATTGACCTGGACTCTGTGACCTGTCGTCAATAAGTGTCGGCCGATCGAAGTGGATGGTGGCTTACGCAAACAAGTAGGCTGACTCTGGCCAGTTTCTTGCGCGGTCGAAGGTTGAACCACTTAGGTACATGCTCCTTCATTCGGGTACTAAATGCTTTATCAGTCCTGCCTCTGTTACCGGCGCCGCAGTCACAAATGAATGGGTAAGTGCAATGCGATTTGGCCCCGATAGACTGAGCTTCCTTTACAGAAGAAAGTGGCAGTTTTGGGTTTTGTTAATGACAACGACCTTGGCGGCATAATAAGTTGCCTGCATGGCACAGACCAGACGCCTTGTGGTCCTCAACGAGGAGACGTCACCTTTGAATGGCAGTTCAATGGTTACAGGCTTATTAGGTACCGTGGGAACTAGTTTCCTTGGTCACACTTGACTATGTTTCTCGATGAACCTTCGGGGGTAGCCGTTTTCAATGAGCGTGTTGGTAATCAACTGCAGTTCGTCAGCCAGGCAATCAGCGGAGCAGATTCATTTGGCGCGGCTAGTCAGGGTTCTCACGAGCGTCCGCTTGTATCGCATTGATGTGAAGCTAGTGAAATGCAGATACTGCCCGGACCATGTTGATTTCCTGTAGACAGACCTCTTAATCTGCCCGTTTTCTCTGCGGCTGATGAGGATATCCAAGTACGGAAGGCAATTTTGCTTCTCTATCTCACAGGAGACCCGCACGTTATAATGCGCAGAATTTAGTTACGTTACCGACTGCTCCATCTGATGCTCCGATCAACCAGTTGCCCAAATCTCATCCACGTAGTGTTTGTAACATGGAAGTCGAAATATTTCTCAAGACATATCTCGCTCTACCATTAACATAAAGAAATCAGCAAGTAACGGGCCCAGTGGATGCCTATCACTGCTCCATCAATCTGACAGTATGGTGTGTTTCCGAAATAAAAGTTGACATTCTCCGTACAAAACAACAAGGAGTCTCTTAATAGCACAGTTTGAATCGGTAGGGGACACCGCAAACTTTCTGCTAGTTCATAGGTCTAATCAACAGTTTGATGCACGGGAACATTGAGAAAGTGCAATTCCACCTCTAACGAGCACACGAACTTGTCGGATACATTAAGTATGTCAAGGTCGTCGATATGCTCAAAAGAATCTTTGAGGCTGTATAGATTGGCCCACTTTCGAAGCGGAGACAGCAATTTCATCAGTCAGCGAGCCAGTTTATGTTAGGGGGCATTTAGCATCGATAGAATCGGTCTGAGTGGCACCCCACTATTATGTACATTCGGTAGCCCGTATAGCTGAGGAGAAGTGAAGCCAGTTGGCTTCAAGCTGTCACATGTATCACTGTTAATCACACGATGCAGATGAAGCACATCTAAGTGACGAGTCATGCAAGACTCTAACACGGCCACATCCTCTGCCCTCTCAAATCGTTTGAATTTACTTGTGTCCTCGAGTATGACTGTCATATTCTTTAGGTATTCATCCTTATTCATGAGTACTACGCCAGAACCCTAATCTGGCTTTGTTACAATCACATCCTCAGCACGTAGTTCGCGTAACGCCTGTAAATGCCGTTAGGTACGCGCACAATTTTCTCGTACTGGCACATGTTTAACCTTATAAACAATGTTTGTCAGCTTGTTTTTAAACCATATGAGCTTATCAGCACTGGCTGGTTGTAGATCTTTCATCTGATCAAAGAAGTTTTCAAAATGCGATTCAATGAGAAGCTCATTTAACCGTCTAGGAAGAACTTTGTTGTCTATGCCAAATGATGGTGCTTCCAATTTCAAGGCATTAAGCTTCAAATCCGACATATTCACGACATACTTACCGGGGTCACGAGTAACTGCCAGTTCCCCTTTGTTGTTCATCAGTGACTTTTATAGACGAGCCATCGCAATCCTTTTTGTGCGATCAACAGTGGTTTTACAGAACCAAGAGAATGCAATAAGCCATCAGGGGGACAAGTTTTCGATGACGAGCAATAAGCGTGTGTGTGTTTCGAGTAAATTTACAAGTCTGGTTTGTGCCGTCTCAAAATGAGCAGATGAAACCCGTCTAAGATTAGCTGCAGAGGATCTCAATTAGTTTATGTGTAACGTCTAGGTGTTGTTAAAATCAATTCCTTTTTTAAAAATTAGGCATTTAATTGGAAAATGTTTACGAACCAAATGAACTTATCTACTTATAAGAGCTGATATTTTATTATAGTTCCTCCAAAACAAGTTTAAGGCATTTGAAAACGAAGGCACCTGTCGAGAAACATTATGAGCTCTTAACCTGAACTCTGCCATTTAGGGTAACAAGAGTAGCGAACTCAAACATTTTTTGGGTTATGTGGAAGGATTACTCGAAAGATTTAATGAGCGCTTTAAAAGTCTCATGCGCGTTAAAGCCCTCCAGGAGGACTCCTCATCAACGGCTGAAGCCGGAGAGAAAAGTTTCTTCGATCAGTCTCGTAAGTGTAGTGGAGTTACTTTGCAGCTAACAACATTTTATTTTATCAGCTAAAGTGTTTGGAACTAGCTATACGAACCTGAAACCTCAACTGGTGCGCAGTAACGTCAAGGAAATTGAGGAGGTTTTTAATGAATCAGAGGTGTGGAACGCTAACAATCTTCAAGTGAAAGACCACTGACCATGTCGTTGTATCCCTATAGTGATCACAAGATTCTGAATGGAAACCCTTATCACCTAGTACTTCATAGAATTTATAACTTTAAGAGAAACTTCAAATAATTTTGTACCACACCGGTGAATAAAAGTTTTGTTGCCCATACCATCTTAATTCATACTGATTGAAATGTGCTTCTGAAATTGTATTTAGTTCTCAACTAGGTATAGGTCTATTGCGGCTGGCGCACTCAATCAATCCTAACGGTAACATTCATACAAAGCTCAAATAACGAGGTAAGAATTTACGAGGCACAGGTAAAGAATAGAGTAGTTGTGGCACTTTAATAATAGTATAATCGCTCCTGAGTATGAGGCATGATACCGATTGTCGGTAAGCCCACGAATTGGTTTATTTATTTCCTCTCAACGCGAAAGAGAAGCAAAAGAAACCAATGCCAACCGTTGGCATAATTTTTTCGTAGACTACCAAACTCCTTTTAAACCTTTTTCCAAAAACGAAATTGGGAGTGTCTGATTGTACAAGGAAACCTAGGCGGATCTAAGCTGGCAGTTTAAAGCTCAACTAACACGCTCCACATACAAAAAACACGAGGCCTTAGACAGTGTGTCACGTGCATGAAGCTATTAATATGACCATTTGCGTTATAAGTAAGTATTTAGACGGCTTTTGTGACATGCTGCGTGACAAAATGGATAGTATCTATTCACTTATTCAGAAATAACGCGCACGTCTTTCTCTAACCAAAAATTAGAAGACATTTGACACTGGTATTCCAGAATATCTTGCTTGTCCAGCAGGTCCTTTAATAGATCATTCAGCGCACGCTTCCAAAACTGATGATTCCCTTGGGAATATCAATGATGACAACTCAACTACTAGGCGATTTGGCCGGCCTCAGGTCCAAGCAACGCGCACCTACGAAAAAGACCATGGCAAGTTTTGTTGACTAGTTACGACTGATATCATATACTCAAGTATGCGATATAAACCAGTCAGATATTTCGAAAAACTGAAAATATAGAACCCGAAACCAGAAGAAATAAAATTTATGGCAGATCTATATTCCTCATGATGATTTTAATCAAGGTGCGGAGCATTGGTATCGTTCTCTTTACATAAGCCGAGTCGTCGTAAAGTGAATGATTTCCTTCACCAACCGTTGTATGTAGCCTGTTTGGGGACAACCACTTAGGACTTACCACGTAGCGTATTACATGCTTGCTCACTTGCAAACATAGTTGATGCAGACCCTTGCATCCTTAGTGTATCAGCTATTATCTGTAGTGCAGAAGCCATCATCAATAGTGCATCAGCTCTCATCCGTTGTTCGGAAGCTATCATCCGATAGTCACCGCATTGCATCCACAATGACATGGTGTGCAAAACGAGTAGCATTCAATTGGATTCGCCTTAACGTAGTGACTAAACATTCGCAGCACGCAGAATACTCAAGCTTTTGGAGGTAGTTAAGAAAAATATTAGACTTCGGTGAGACCACCGTGGTCCAACTTTAATGGACGGCAATTGAGATCTTACTAAACGGACCTCGGCTGGTGCACGTGTACCGCGCGCGCTCTCACTGAACAATCGGGTTGTCCGTGACATGTGTTGAAGTGCGCAAAGTCCCAGAAGAAAGGGGAACGTAGGCGCGCAGAGCATGTCCTGAACACCCGGGTTCAAACCTGAACTGTATTCAAGCATCTTGTGTGACCGGGCAAAGTACATGTCTGAGGCTGGGGCGCAGGTGAGGCACATAGCAGCTGAGTAAACAATGTAGGCTGGATGCTCCAACGTGTTCCATACAAGAGGCGCAATTAAGTTGCCTTGTCTTGTTGGACCTCAGGCTACTTTGATGGGCTTGTTATGGGCGCAATACAAGCTGGCGATTTTATCTCGGATTCAAGTTGTCAGTAACATTAGGAGAACAACCTCCGTTGCAGCAGAAACGATACAATTCGCTCCACGCAACATTTTTCTTCATACAATGGAATATCAGATTTCAACTGATTGTGAGAAAGCAGGTATGCATGTTCCAGCCAATTTGGCTTAAAACGAACCACGTAGGTCAAATCTGATCCAGGTAGGCGGATAAGCTCCCGGGCCGAATGAAATAATCACCGATGGTTGGATGCATTCGGCATGTGATAGATGTTTGGTTGCAGCCTTGCAAATTCTTTACAAATGAGATTTTGACCGGAAACTATATTACCTTCCTCCTCGTTCTGCATGTACGCTGTGTAGTCATATTTTGTCGCGAGGGGATTTGGTTACAAGCAGCCGGTATCGTGAAATAAGGAATATTGTCAGCTGTTTTACTCTACGGTTCTCTAGAAAAAGGAGTATGCTCAGTGGTCTAGTGCAGAGAAAAAAGCTTAGGATTAACATGTCCCACAAGGAGTTGAGGTGCGTTATGCAAATGAAAAGGAAAGACAATAATAAACAAAGCAGAACCGATAGCAGTGAACTTGTGCAAACTTTTATCCACCTACGTCATTCATAAGTGGTTTAACTAAAGTGGCCAGAGTTCTGGTAGATCAAAGTGAAACGCTAAATCACCTCCGTTGTTTAGCATATGCTGACCGTACAAAAGAGATTGAACAGCTAAATGTATCCGTGTATTACTCAGGTGCAATAACAAAGTGTACTTACGTCAATATTCAGTACAATGCCTGCGCTTATGAAGTTGACGTGGTGCTTGGTATTGAAGCATCTGCAACCACATCTGTGAAACAATACTTCTAAGTCGAATGTATCTTCTGTAGTAGATCTGGGCGCTGCATCAGCATGTCGTAATGTCGTTCGCAGGGACACCTTGTGCTCTTATCCTCGAAATTGTATTTCACTAAATGGACCGCTTTCAGTGTTTGAACGCTAAGTTGTGTTTTCTCGTTTGTCCACACAGTGTTCTTACGTGTGACGATTAGGTCAGGGAGACAAGGCATTTGTATTTTGTTCACATGGGTCCGAGTTGGCCTGGAAATCGAAAAACAGTTCTATTCACTGCATGTTCACATTTGTTTGTTTACTGTTCCAATCGGGAATGTAGTCAGCTGAAGAAAACCTACAAACTTTGTTGACTTTATCAAACAGCTCGTTCTCATTGATTTTCAGGTCAGATAATTTGGATCCAAGAAGACTGCGGCTTGCTTCGAATGTTTCTTAGGACGGTGGTTATTTCAATGCCACCCAACTGAAGTCACTCAGTTCTTGAATTTGGTTTATTCTCTCCCGTAGATAATCGATGCAGTTATCGTAGGAGCTGGTGGTAATATTCCTCACATCTTTAAGTGGTTCTGTGTTGCTCAACACTACTTGACACCGAGGACTGAGTGGAGATTGCAATTGGTAATCCAACAGCGGGCGAAGCAGAAGAAACTTTAAATTAATTACTTCTATTTTTCTGCTAAGAAACGCGTGTTTAATTTGGCCATTTCGGATTTCGCCTTGTTTGGAACAAAGCTGTTTCCGCTCCCCCTCCATGCACTTCTGCATTAGTTCGTACATTGTAAATGACACTTCCAGTGCTGAAATATTTTTTCCGCAGTTTGTAGTACAGTATCGTAACAAATGTCAGATGTTGTTTATAAAGAAGAGCCTTAGCTCAGAGCAGTGATTTTCAAAACTAGATTTTCTTACTGTGGAACATTACTGTCGAGACGAAATTAGGGTTTAAACACTGACAAGATTCAGGATGCTCTCATCTACAGGTAAAAGCGGAAGTCATTTATTTTTCTCATATCCTAAAATGCGTTGATGTACTACCAGTGCGGACTCACAGCATTTATTTAGTTTTAAGACCCGAACAGTGTAAAAGTAGAGGTAAGAATATAATTTACCACAAAGGTTTCAACATCAATGGGAAAACAGTCAGCCGCTGTTTGCAATATTTTGTAGGCAAGGTGGGCCACGCAACTAATCCCCACGCGAATTGTTTAATCGAAGATTTTAGTTACACAAATTCATTGTATTATCTTTTACTTTGAACTCTAGGCAAATTTCGGTTGGCGTTTGCAGAACAAAATCCCATACTTTGCTTGGTCATATTATGTTGTCCCAACATATTCAGTTTAAATTTAGAATTAATGTACGATGTGTCATAATTAAGTGACGCCAGACTTAAGAAGTTTACTTCAATACACGAGGACGGCACAAAATATTCTCTAAATAAAATATTTTCTAAGGATTGGGAATACTTTTACTTCCTTGTGGTTTGAGGCGTCTATGAATATTGACATGAAGTTTGCTTTCGGCAAATTTTCTTGAATTTAGTCGCTGGCAATCGGGAACTGGATAATAGTTGTTATTGTCTACTACTTTTGCGGGCACAACCTAACTTCACCTCAAACAATTTCGCTACCGACTTTCTAATGCAATCCATGAAAAGGAAGATGCGGTTGTGCAATACAACGGGATAAGTGAAGATACCTTCTGCAGCTACTATCTTGGCTGCTGGGTTTTCAAATCTCGCTGATATGAAATAATGTGTTTCTGGGGTAGAATTTGCTGCCGCAAACACGGCTACCTTATGACGATCCGATTTTTGGTGCTTTGTGACATCTGATCGGCCACGGTGAGCAATAGAAAATTCGGATTTGCATATGCAACCAAGAACGTATCAGTTCTTGTCACGTGTGACCTTCTTAATTAATGGAAAAGCGCTCTCCAAATGTGTAGTCATCTTACACCGTTTAGACATGATTTTCTTACCCAACTGCACTTGAGGCAGGAGTTCTCCACTAAATTCACTACCATTAGATCATGGCTTTCTTCTCTCTCTTTTATTGTCCTAAAAATTCTCCCTACCGTGCTGCCTACCTACGCAGTCGACTAAGCTGCTCAACTCATGCTCGCCCAGTTATTTTGGTCTGATGGCGTGCACGCACCGCCACTGAATAGTTTTGATATTTTTCATGTACATTCTACATACTCAAAACGGGAGATTAGGAGGTCTCGGACCTCCAAACGGGATATTACTGCGTCCCGCTCAAAATTTTTAAAAAAGCGGAACGACGGCTTGAAATGCGATACTGCACCGAATAAATCAGGACGTATGGCCACCTTAGGTATAAGCAAAATTCAAATGTCACCGCTTCCAATTTCCCCAACATGTGACTGTGGGTTGATCCGGTGTTGTTTTC